AGCCCGCGCCTCCGGCCGCCGCCGGCCCCGCCGCCGCCTCGCGCGCTCATTGGCCGGCCCGGCCCACGGGGAGCGGCGGGCGGGAGCGGCCAGCCCGCGCCCTCTCACACGCACCACGTCCACACGCCGCGCGGCGCCGCCCGGAATGCCTGACCCATCCTGTGGACCCCTCGGGCTCTGGGACACGCTCGCCCGGTTCGAGCCCAGCGCTCCCAGGGTGCCCACCAGGCACCCTTGTCACTTACTGCCACTTTTCTGTACTTGGATGGAGACTCCGTCAAAACTCACGAACTTTGATGGAGACTCCATCAAAAACTCACGCCTGCCAGACGTACAAGTTTGCTTATCCACACCCGCGTCCCTTACTATCGCTTTTCTGTCCCTACACCCGGATTCCATCCCTCTCCATACTCAGAAGCCTCTAAACTTAGACCAAGTTCAAGCCCGGCGTGGCCCCAAAGTGCTCAAAGGGTACGGTCACGAGTCCACTTCTATTTACAAACCCTCAGGACACCCTGAGCCTGACCCACAAGTCTGGATGAGAATAGAGAGTAATAAAAGGAGATCTGGGGGGAGAAAGGAATGACCAACTTTTGCAGATGTCAGAGTAGACCTAACTCGTGTACACCTAACCATTGCAATCCAAAGATACCTTCACCTCGCCAAGGTGGGCAATACACGGAGGCCTCTTCTACAGAGTCTTTGTGACTTTCAAGGAAGAGACAGAGACGGGCGAATGTGTCCTTCTCTGGCTTTAATTTCTGGCCTTTATTCAACAAGACACTAGTTTCACCACCTGAAGCATCTATCCCTATCCGAGATCACAGAGATGGCTAGCTCATTCTCTGGGCAGGCTGAGGGCTTGGCTTGCAACTTCTGATCCTGACTTCCCGCCAGCCCACGCACCATGGCCCTCAAAGCCGAGCACGGAGCTCAGAGGATGAGGTCCTGCTGTGAGCTTGGAACACTCACTCCCACACCACACAGACTCATACTGCCTTTCACTGAATGACCAAACGCACAAGAATATCTGTTCTTCTTGGGAGAAGATGATGATAAATATGGCAGAGAAGCACTGTACTACAGAGGGAAGTAGTTGGTTTAGAAGTGGGACAAGCCATAGGGTTCACCTAGGGCCCACAGATAATTATAGTGTGTGTTTAAATCAAAAACTCTTATAGGGGGCTGGAGACGTGACTCAGAACGTAAGTGTACAGGCTGTCAAGCCGGACAACCTGAGTTAGCCCCTCAGGCCCCACGTGGTGGAAGGAGAGGTCCAACTCTGGCACGTTGTCCTTTTTGACCATGCAAAAAGCACTTTGGAATATGCACTCACACACATACACAAATAGATAATAAAATGGGACTTTTAAAAATCTCCAGCTGGAGAGATGGTTCAGCCATTAAGGAGTTCTTGGTGCTTTTCCAGGGGACCAGAGTTCCATTCCCACACCCACCTTGCATGGTTCACAACTGCCTGTCACTCCAGCTCAGTGGTATCTGGTGCCCTCTTCTGGCTTCTTCTGGCACCTGCACTTGAGGACATGTATGCACACACACACACACACACACACACACACACACACGGATGGATGGATGGATGGATGGATGGATGGATGGATGGATGGATGGATGGGTGTGTGGGTGGGTGGGTGGGTTGGTGGATGGATGGATGGACAGACGGACAGATAAATATGATCTTTAAATTCTTCCAGGATCAGTACCTACTTGGCTGAGCTGGAACATCAGTGTAATTTACAGATGAAGAGTCATGTAGAAATGGCTTGAGCCTGGGGGGTAAGGGGTACACCTTTAATCCCAGCACTTGGGAGGCTGAGACAGGTGGATCTCTGTGAGTCTGAGGCCAGTCTGGTCTACAGAGTAAGTTCCAGGACAGTCAGGAATACACAGAGAAACCTTGTCTTGAAAAAAAACAAGCCCCCCTCCCCGCAAAAAAAAGTGACTTGATGAAGAACAAGTCGGGAAGGGAACAAGAATCAAACCAAGTTCTATACCTGATACATTATTATCCATACAGTTATTGCCCTGTTCAGCTCCTCCCTGCTAACACCAGTCCTCTGATTCCTCCAGTCACCACTAGTGATTCCTCAGCAGAACATAGCATCCACGGCCTTCCATCAGGGCATTTACCCTCTTTCCCTGGGAGTGAATAATCGAGGGAACCTTGCTGTCCTGGGTGCTCCATCAAACCTGAAAAATGGGGAGCAAAGAAAGACACAATCCTCGCACTCCCGAGACTGGCCTTCTGGGAAGGAAGGAAGGGTGCTGTCCCAAGATAATTGTATATTAAGGAGTCTCTATAGCAACCACCGAAAAGGGGGACTCAGGACACGAGAAAACCTATAACACCCTAACAGGTCCAAAGAGGTCAGCGAGGCTTACCAAAAGACTAGCTCAAGAATTCACCTGCTCCAGAAAATATTACCCAGACAGGAGAGAGGAGGGAAGAGCCATTCCTGCAACGTATGATCAAATCATAACGGCGTCCCTGAGAACAGCTTTTACCATTTTGATGACAGAGGAAACTGAGGCACAGGAGATAAAGGAACCAGCCCCTCGGGTGCTAGACACTGAGCAGAAAGCTGCCTTGAGTCTCAGATTAACACAAGAACTCTGTGGAGGAGGTGGTGGTGGCATGTTTTCCCTCAGTTCCTGAAACAAGAAGGCCAGCAGGGCCAGGACAGGAAAATGGGGAATTGGGTAAACTAAGATGAGTGTTTCAAGTAAGAGGTGAGTTATAAGATGAGAGTTTCAAGCTCGATACGCCCGAGTCAGTCCAGTGGGGCGGGGAGGGAGGTATGTCTTCATCCTCAGAACAAAAGGATTTTGTTTATTCTCAGAATAAAACACAAATGTTTGAGGTAAAAGGTGGCGTGGTTAAATGTAAGCATGAAAGAGATACCAGTGTATTTCAGAGGACAGATTGCAGAGCAAGTAGAGAAGAGCTGGACCAACATAGACCACATGGAAATCTTACATCATAGATGATGCGGATGACATCCAAGACAAGGACAGTGGAGAGAGACGTGAGAGGATTGTGGGAAGCCTCCCGGTGTGTCATCACTTACACTGGCGGTGGGTGAGACACAGGACGATGGGAAAGGATGCGTGTCTACAGGATTATGACTGGCACACAGAGATTGGTGCTGTGGGCTGAATTAGACATTACTGGGAGATTTTTGTACCAGGAGAATGACCACAACGTCCACCTCAACCTAGTGAGGATGGGATGTCATTGAGAACTCTGAAAATATGACAGATAGACAATTGGATATGAGGGTTTGGGCTTCAGTTCTGGGGTCATCGATTGGGAGGAGACTATGATATCTGCCTGTGTGCAATCATTCTAGGGAGATGCAGGAATAAGGCTTGGCTTGTTAAAGAGAAGAAACAAAATAACACTTGAGAAGGGTTAATTAAGCATTCTAGCATGGGTTGGTCACATATCGGACAGAGAACTCGGGGCAAGACAGAAGCTGCAGTAAGAAAAAAGGGGAAAGCTAGCCCGGGTTTTGTGATCTCAGCTCAGGAGAAGATGGTTTCTCAAGTGAGAACTCAACTCTGCCTGTGCAGTGTGGGGAGGGTGATACACTCTTTACTAAAAGTCACTGAGATTTCAGAAGTAACCGGGAGAGGAGTGGTCAATAATGGGCACAGATAATTTAATGAGAGGAGAGGAAGACTCTTTGGGAGGTGTTTCACTCAGAACAGAAGAGGAAGTCCCTAGGATAGGAGGCAGAAAGCAAAGATTGGAGTCCGTTGATTGGTGCTTGAATATTGGCTTCATGGTTTCTGAGGTTTGAATATCTTAAATGATCAGGGAAGATCCAGTTGGTAGAAACTAACCATTCAAAAAAACGATCTCGATACTGCTGGGCTTTGAGACCATGGGTAAAATTATTAAAAGACTTACAAAGTAGAAACCATTCCTCTGTCGACCTGCAGGGCAACTCTTGGGTTTCATCTCTATAGCTGTGTCTCATGGCTTTTCTTTTCCTAAGACAGTGTCAAGCTAATCTGCTAAGAGTCTGGAGAAATGCGAGCTCTCAGTGGAGTGGGGAAAGTAGAAGGTTTGGTTTCTCCTTTGGAGAAAATGTTGGGATTTGTGTGCAAGTGCTCATGTGTGCATATGTAGCTGGAAGCCAGATGACAGCCAGTGTCATTCCTCAGGAACCTTCCATATTGTTTTTATGAGACATAATCCCTCACTGGCCTGTGGCCTGCCAAATAGGCTAACCTGACTGGCCAGTGAGCCATAGACAGTCTAGGACTCTGACAATCTGCCCGTCTCTGCTTCTCCAGAACTGAGATTATAGGCACATTACAACATACCTAGATTTCATGTGTGAGTTCTGGGGATTGAACTTGGGTCCTTGTGCTTTTACAGCAAGCACTTCACCAATGGATTCATTGTCCAGGCCTTTAAAAACGTTTAAAAATGGCCTTTGC